CTGTGAGGGGTGAGGTTATCATAATGCTTTCCAGAGGGTTTAGTTTAAAGGGAAGGGGTCCCTGGAGGAGTGGGCTTTATAAGGCAGAGAAAGAGAGGAGAGGTGTGGTGGTGTGGTGTGGCATGGTGTGACTGAAGATTCAGTATAGCCTAGGAGTTGTGCTGAGTGCTGGGGGAACGGTAAGAGAAACCATCATAGAAGGTGTAAGGCGGGGATTAAATTTCCCCTGAGTTAACTGTGGCTGAGAGCTGGTGCAGTGAAGTGTTGTGTCAAATCCGTGAGCTGGGCCTCCCTCAGCCAATGGGGAGTTAAAGATCTCAGTTGAGGTCTGAGGTGAGCAAGGATGAAAGCCACACAAAAGCTTGGTCAAGGCAGGCTAATTAGCTTCCATCTTTCCCTCCTATTTCCTGGCCTGATATTTGAGGTGACATTTAAAGCCATTGTACAGATGTGCAGTGGAACAGCAGCAGAACAAATGCTTTCTGGAGTCTGTGGAGAGCCAAGGGTGATTTCTCAGCCTCCTGCCTGGCAGATACTCAACTCCTTGTGGGGTTTCTACTGGGCCTTTGCCTTCAGGAGCACCTACTCTAATGGGGGAGGTTTAGAATCCCCATCCTTACTGGACTCTTAGGGTGTGTGGGCAGATGAGATACTATTCAACCTAAATATTGGGTTGTCAGAAAAGTCATGATGTATTTTTCTACGTAAAAATGTGTCATGACCTTTCCAACAACCCAATCGTTACAGGAAGTCGGTGCTGAGGGTAAGAGAGGGGAGAGCAATATAAGCCAATAGGTCGCTGTTTCAGAATCACCTGGGGATCTTGTTAAAGATACAGGCCTCTGGGAGTGAAGCCTAGTTATCTGCATGGATAACCAACCCTCTAAGGTGATTCTGCTGCCCATTAAAGTTTGAGAACCTCTCTGATAGAGAACGTGTGAAGTTAGCTGGAAAAGGCCTCTTGGGAGAGGTGGGTTTGAATTTCAGAGTCTAGGTGATACTTGTTTTAGATACTATCCTCATGTGGACCTAAAGAACCTGTTCATTTGGGGACATTGGGCTCTCAAAGGTGAGTCTGGCAGGTGTTCATTCCACCCCCTGAATGGTGGCCCTGAGAATGTGTTGTTTCAGACTTTACTTCACCACTTGGGTGCTGATTGTAAAGGGGACAGAAGTGGTGTGGGAGGTGGCTGAGGATGGTGTCTGCTGGAGCGTTTGATTCATGTTGCAACTGAAGCACAGCTTGCGGGGCAAAATGGCAACCTGGTTGAGCCCACTTTCCGAGGCAGGGTGGGGGAGAACACCATGTATACAGACAGTCTTCCCTCTTGTTCACAGACACTAGCCACTGTGCCACCTCTTGAGTGGCCTTTCCTTGTCAGAACGCTCCATGAGGCCAAGGAGCTGGCCAGTGCTGCTGAGGAGATAGTGGTCATTCTTGTCCCTGGAGCTGAGTGGGAAAGATTTGGGACGTGATTGGTTCTCTCTTCCTTTTGTGCTGCTTGCCGTCTGCTCTGTACACTTGTGCCGGCTTTATGTGATTGGGAACACAGTGTTTTCACATTGGGGCGGGTGGAGAGAGGGAGAAAGAGGGGTGCCAAGGAAGGAAGAAGGAACATTGAAGAGAAGGGAACACATCCATGTTTCGACAGTGAGTAACCATGGAGCTTCCAGACTGGCATCACCTTTCTGAAGTGGAGGGACCAGTGCTGGGCTGGAGACACTGCTAGTCCCTGGAGGACATGTCTCCATGGCTGGCCAGCTGAGCTGGCGTAACCACGCCAACGGGAATGGCTGCACTTGCTTTGACTGATGAAAGAGGGAGCTACTGTAGAGACTTTGTTCAAAACAAACAACAACAACAACAACAAAAACCTAATAAGGCTCTGTTCTGGCCAATATCCTGTCCTTTTCTAATTGCACTGCTGCTCACCGACAATACTGACAGTCTCTTGGAACATTTTATTCAACTTCTGGAGGGGCTACATTGAAAGTAAGGCTTATGAGGCTCTGTGGGAGCTGGAGAAATAAGCAGGAGTGGGCTGGGTAACTCTAAGGAGCCCAGCTTGGTGGATTGAAGCCAATCTTAAGTAAAACTCCAGGCTGAATGGTTTTGCCCTGGGCCTGACCCAATGGCTAATACTTATGTTCTTAGGATCACTGTGGGGGGAAGTGCTTGCACTTATATAGTTCTTTAATTGCCTTTATTCCCTTTCTCTGTGAAAACAGGAAAGAATGTGTGGGGTGTTTTGCCTTTGATTACTACAGGGAAAGGAACAGGCCCAGCTGCTTTCTTTAGACCCAAGAATAGGACAGGGGCTTGCAGCATCAGCACCATTAGAGTACTCCAGACTACACGGTGGTCACCAGGGCTTTCTGCCTCAGTCAGGTGCTCTTCCCACAGCCCCTCTCTGTCTGGGTCTCTGGCCATGGTAGGAGCCTCCCACTTCATATTTCTCTTGAGTTGTGTTAGAAAAAACCATGTTGTCATTTGTATTTGGAAATGTACTCTCTTTGCAGCCATAAGCCAGTGGATAAGGAAAAGATGAAAGGCCCCTAGTCAAGAAGTGGCAACACTCAGACCCTTCACTCAGCCTGTACCCATGGCAGGCTAGCACTGCGTGGGAGGGGCCTTCCTGAGGATGCCTGCTCCCTGAGGTCCTGCCCTTCTGTGAGGGCTTCCATCTCTCCATGAAAGATGTCACAGTTCCTCAGGGAACAGTGTACTCATGGCAGGTCAGCACTGCCCAGGAGGGGCCTTCCTGAGGACTCCTGCTCCCCAAGGTCCTGCCCTACTGTGAGGGCTTTCATCTCTCCATGAAAGATATCACAGTTCCACAGGGAACAATCTAGAGCCCCAGGAATTTCTTAGGGAAGAGACAGATGATCCCTACTCATCATTTGACCTTAAGCAAGTCATTTAACCTCTGGGAACATGAGTTTTCTATAGCTGGGGAAAAGTGACTCCCGTCCTACAGTCCTTGCAGGGCTATTAAGAGGCACAACGGAGATGATGGATATGAAAATACTTTGTGAGCTAAAAAGTCCTGGCCGCACGTGAGTGATGGATTCTTGTTTTACATGAAAGGGGAGACTTCGGGTCACTTCTCTCTGGAGAGAGGAGGAGGAGTTTGCATTCTTGTGTTAACCAAACACTGGAGTCTTGTCCATTTAAGGCAATAAGAAAATAATGCGAATGGAGCCTGAGAGGTAGCTTCTTGGGTGGTGGTGTCTCTGCTTAGTCCCCCTGCTGCCCTTTATGAAGGAACCATGAAGCAGGGGTGACGCTGGGGCAGAGGCAGGAGACTGGAGATTGCATCTCTGCGTGCTCTCTCCCTCTCCCTCCTAGCCCCTGCTTCCCTGGATGTGTGTCCTCCCCAGTCTGAATTCTGCAGAAATCTGCAGCCTGTCTTGGAGGCAAAAGTCCCAAGGGAGAGCTGTTACTGAGGGAGGCCTGTTTCTACCAGCTGCCAGATAGAGACCAGGAGGCCTAGGGAGTGGGCAACACTTATGTTAGGACAGTGAGGAGCCCTTGTCCACATGGCCTGGGCTGGACAAACACTGTGAAGAATGTGCATGTGGCTGCTGGGCGGTTTTTAGGCTTAGAGAATAAGGTCATCCTGTACCTTAGGTCCCTTTAGATTTTGTCTGAGCAGGACTCCCAGTCACCTGGGACACAGCCTTATCATGTGGGTGGCCAGTACACGAGAGGTTCTGTGCAGAGCAAGGACAGGGCCCCTGCCATTCTTCCACAGGCCTTAGTACCCAGGGCTGAGGGCATGCAGTCACTGTTCTCCCTGTCCTTAATGAAATAATGAGGCATCTCCAGACTTTCTTCTTGTTCGTGTGTTCACTGAGTAATCATGCCAGTACTTGTGAAATCGAGGGTTACTCTCTTGGGTACTTTGGGGAACACAGATGATGAAAAATCAGCTCCTACTGTCACAGAGTTTATGGTCAAGTAAGAGAGGAGTCATATACAGAGGAGAAAGTGAAATGGAAGACATGAAATAGGACTGAAGGTGAAGGAAGGCTGTCTGGATTCTGTGGCTTTTGAATTAGACATGGGATAGTTACAGGGATTTGGCCATGCTGTGGTAGAGAGTGGGGAAAGCCCGCTATTGCAGGAAGAGCAGGAGTGTAGGCATGGAGGCACGAGTCCCTGGGGTGTGTGGACATGGGGGGAGCTGAGGATCTGGCAGGAAGGAGGGAACTGGATGGTAGGGGAGAGCCTTCTATCTGCCACTATCTGCAAGGCACTGTACCAGAAACGCTATACTCTTCCTTTGCTTCAAGCCTCGTACTATGTCTGTAAGGCAAATACAGTTCTCTCCAGGTTACACAGGAGGAAGCTGAGGCTTAGGGAGTTGAAGTAACTTAATAAAGGCCTGGTAAATACTAAGTCGTAACAAGACTTGAACCCATGATGGTGTGACTCTAGTTATCTCTACTCTAACGGAGGATATGTGAAGGAAAAAGGGGGATGTGGCCTTTTTCTGGTCATGAGGGTCTATCAGTCTCAGGTAAGGAGTGCACATGGTCTTCTCGGTGAGGCAATAAAACTCCTGGTCTTCTGGACTGGCCTCTGGGCTCAGAGTCCAGAATGGCTGAGCTTCTGCCCACCCACCATCCCCATCCTATTGGAGGAGCCACTAGCCACTGGTGTGAGTGGCAGGGGGGGGGGGGAAGCTAGAATGGTGGGAGATACTAGAATGAAATGGAAGACATGGCCTTGACTGGATTTTCATACCCAAGACCACCTCAGATCTCACCTCTGCAATGCTTCTCTGACTTCCTCCCCCGCATCTCCGACCTCCCCTTGGGTCCATGCAGGCTCTGTCTGCACACGCGTTGTTCTGCACTTGTTCCTTTGTTGCTGTGAAACAGGCTCCCGGCACAGTCAGCCTCTGTGTGGGAGGATTGGTGGCTGTCTTTGCAGGCAGGCATTTGCTTAGAGCAGGCTGCGCGCGAGCCCAGCGTCAAGTGATTCCGGCCTCCTCGAGTCAGCGGTGGTGGGATGAGGCTCTGCCCAGGGAACTGGCTGTGAAGGATGAGTTCAGGGTGGGATGACGGACCGCTTCTGGGACCAGTGGTATCTTTGGTATCTCCGCTTGCTCCGGCTGCTGGATCGAGGTATCCTGAGTGTGTGTGTGCTTGTGTGTAAGAGTGTGTGTGTGAGAGAGACAGATATACAGAGAGACACACACACACATGTAGAAAACAGCAGAGGGGAATGGGGAGCAAAATGAGAAGGAATGAAACAGAAGCAAGTAGCAAACCCATGGAAAGTAAAAAAAGGCTGTATTTTTCTGGGAACATGTGTGCTTCAGCTGGGAACTGGGAGCACAGGGCCATTCAGGGGCATCTGTAAGAGGACCTCATTTCTTGCTGGGGTTCTTATTGAGCACAGTACTGTAGCCAAAGACAAGCTCTGTCTTGCAGTGCTCTCGATAGAGCACTTGGAGAAGCTCTGCAGAAGAATGGACCCTGCAGAAAGAAGCTGGGGGCAAACAGTTGCACACTAAGACCTCAGCTCTGCCACTGACTTAAGGCTGTTTATGTGACCTTCCGGAGCTTGTTTCTTCATCTGTAAAATGGACATGGTGAGACCTACCTGCTGTGCTTGTTGTGAAGTTATTGTTTAATTCACACACGTGAAACATACACCAACATGTCGGTATGCAGTCTGTGCTTAGGAAATGCTAAGTTCCTTTCTGCGTGCCTCTCAGCATCATGGAGCTCTCGCACCTGTCCTGGGGACAGCTCCTTTTGTCGATTATCTGTAGCTAGAGCTGGTATAGAATTTGCAGTTAGTGGAAAGGAAAGGGAAACTCAGTTTTATTCTTTAATCTGACCTTAGTATGTTTTACTATCAAATATTAATAAAGTTAAAATTTCCTGGTAATATGACCCAAGTCTAGATGTTTTGTCATAAGGAAAAGCCACTACAAACTTCAGTCATTGATTTTTTTTTCAAATGTCACATGTTGTTATTAAAAGCTTTGACTCCTTTAACAAGATTTGACAAGACTGAGATCAAATCCCCATGGAAAAGATGGTCCTGGGGAAGCCATGGTAGCCCTCCCCCACAAGGTGTGTTCATCTCCGTCAGGAGCTGACCAAGGTGTGCCAGGAGGTCATTACCAGGTGGAAGCAGAGCGCTGCAGGAAGCAGGTGAACCGGGGCCCTTATCAGGGGAGAAATCAAAGATGGAGGAAACCAAGCCAGCACATGTGAAAAGCAGTCTCTCACTAGCACTGAGAATCAGGCCAGTGGGAGCCCAGACTTGAGATGAGATGAGGGTGTAAATAAGGGAGCCAGAACTTCATACTGGTGGAGATGACAGACTAGGGAGGAGGGAAGGAGATCCCGAGGTATGACTTCCCCTTATTTGTGTGACCTGAGCCAAGTTATTTAACCTCTCTGTACCTTTGCCTTCACTGGTTAAAAAGGAGTGATGAAAATAATAGTAGTGTCAACTCAGAGGGGTGCTGTAGGGGTTAAGTGAGAACTACAGGTTCAATATTTATCCTGCTGCCTGGCATGAACAAAATATGCTTTAAATATTAGTTTTCATTACCAAGACAGTTAATTCTCACTCTCCTACAAACATCCTGAAAAACTCAGGAACAGGTGGTGTGTAATAACCAGGAGCTGAGAAGGGTCCAATTTAGAATTGTTAGAGGCTTAGAGACAACTTATACTTATGTGAAGTAAAACAAGATTCAAATTGACACACGATGCTAATTATAAAGAAACTAGATGTAAATGTGTGAGCTATCATTACACTAATTTATTTTTATTTTTTAGAATGCTTGAATCCATAAATCACAAACTTAAGGATACATTCTGGCTCTATTGCTTTCTAAGTTCCCTTGAATAAATGATTTACCCTCAGTTTGTTCATCTGAAAGGCGGGAATATTAGTAATAACTCCTATATCATAGAATTTGAGGGAACTCCATTATGGTGTATAAGTATCAGGCATTCTTGGAAATGTCAGGTTAATGAATGTATGGATTGATAGACTAACCTGTTCCCCTGGAGAGCACAAGTTGGTGCCAGAATTGTGGTTTTCTATGCGTGCTTGGTTCCCACATATAGCTGCATTTGAAAGTTTATGATTTTTTTAAAACAATGGCTTAGGGTTTTTCTTAATGTGAAACTTTAGACTAGCAGCTCCAGACTGAATAGGTATCTGTCTTTTAGGTTTTGAGGGTTAGATATCGATTATATTGCCCAATTATGGTTAATGGGTATTATAGTATTGCACATGTATGTGTGTGCATACCCACCTCCATATTAAGAATTTTTGGATATAACTTCTTATAGCTAATGTTAACTAATATTGCATAGAAAATGACATACTTTAAACTGGCATGCTAGACTGAGGTAGTTCCCGGAACATGTTCAATAAATATTTATCGAAAGAAGCAACGAATCAATGAATGAATGGAAGATGAACTTGCCCTTGTGGGCAGTGAGCAAAATTCTCACAGATCTGCTCTTTCTTTAGCATAACAGAACTCAGCTCCCTTCATCTGTTTTAGGATTTTATGTCATTTCACCCTCATCATTGTTGAGGCCTCTTTCTTTCAAGATGACATAGGATATAAGAAAGTAAGGGAGTAAGAGATGAGAAGGAGTGGGAAATGATGAATTTAGCTCAGGAAATTGAAATAATCGATGAGCTGTGCACTGGCCTGAGTCACTCACTTGGCTGTGACTGGAGGATAAATGAATCTATGATTTGACATACTTAGAGAAAAGGAAACATTAGAACACATCACGGAGCGGAAATAAACTTTACAAAGAAATAACGGTGTATGCTTGGTAATTGCAGACTAATCTTTTGTCTCCCCTATCATTGTTCACCTAAGGGAAGGATTTTAAAAATGAAAGGTATTGTTTTCTAGAGCTGTACATAACTATATGCAAGGATTTATATGATAATGAGCTGCCAGCTAGCTCAGACATTATTATTTTGATGATTTATTCTCAGTAATGACATGCTGTTTTTACAGCATTTGTTACTGGCGTTCGTCAACTCTGCTGGTTGTGTTCTGTACTTAACACACATTGATTAAGGAAATGGTTCCTGTGATGGGGACTGTCCATGGAAAGAAAAGAGCTCAGGAGCCAGCAGGTGGTATAGTGGTTAAAGTGCTGGACTCCCATGCCTGACGTCTTGAGTCTCAGACTGACGGCTTGAAACTCATGCCAGGCATGTGTGTGTGCATGCCCAAAATCCCAAGAGGAAAATGGAGGAGAAGGGATTGCACTGTGGCTATCCCCCCCACCCCCGCCCCCGGAGGTGATTTCTCACTTTTTTCTCTGTCTCTCCAGTAAGTGCATGTGTGCTGTAGCAAAAATCTCTTAAAAAAAAAAAAAAGCTCATACAGATAAGAATCACAAGTTGTATATAATAGAAATAACATTGGTTTTTGCTGTCATTGAATTTTGTTGTATTCATGGGGACACAAGTCAGGGAGTGTGCATCCTTAGTGCGTGCATGTGTGTGTGTGTGTGTGTGTGTGTGTGTGTGTGTATTTAATAGTGAAAGACTGATGCCGTCTATTCACAGAGCACCAGGCAGTATGGCCCAGCATGTGAGAATGCCCACCACTGGTAATATGTGAGATAGCTTCAGGTGACTTGCAGATAATTGCTTGAACTTCTCCTGCTGGCTTGCCTGGCACATTCTAGAAAACAGTCTATTTTGCCCTATGCCTGCTACCCCTACTCCATCCAGGGGGGCCCTCTGTAGCCCTATTCATTCCTTAGCTCCCCCCTCATTGCCACCTTTAGTTTCCCTTTTGCCCTTCCACCAGTCCTGCCTGGGCCTCCCACTCTGCCCTGCCTTAATCTCTGGCCCCAAATGCCTGCTCCTCCAGCCTCCCTGTTCCCTCAGTCCCTGCCTCTCATGCCTGTCCTCTTCTCCGTTCAGGGCACAGCATTATGATACCGGCTATCTGTAATACCACTCCCTGGTGTTCTCTCTTTTTCTCCAATCCATTCAAAGCCCTCATCCCTTCTCACCCCTGTGCTGGGCCAATGTGCCCATGAATCCTAGGCCCCCAGCTCTGAGGTTTCCCTTCCCATCCTTCCCTGCCATCTAACTCTGAATGTCTTGCCCTCTCAGGCATATTTTTTGTTTCTGCCCTTTTATGTCATCTTGTCATTACTCCCATCCCACTAGTTTCTTTTAAAAATAATTTTAAGGACCCAGGTGCAGTGATGCAGGTGGTAGTTTGCCGCTCTCTAATGCTGGAGCCACATGGCTGACTGGGCTTGGATTCCTGATTGGCCTGAAATATACCAGGAGCGAGCCCATGTGCCTGTAAGGGCCCGTGAGCCTGGTTGCCTGGGGGGTGGTGGGGGAGGGGATCACAGCATAATGAGACCCTGTCATGGGTGTGCCTCCCTCTTGCTCTCATAGAAGACATAAAATAAATACACCAAATAAATGGAACTTTAAAATTAGAGTTGAAGTAAAGTAATATCAAGGAAATAACAGTATAGGAGTTCTGTGGATATGGTGAAAATGGTGACAGAAGAACAAAAATGGCAAAACATATGTGACATGTTGAATTTACAACATAGGTGTACGATTTCTTGGTGTTTTGTCCATGGTCCTGTAGCTGCCACAAAGTGCTTTGAATTTTGGACCAGAAACCAACTAGTTTTCATCCCTTGGTGTATATTAAATTATCTGTGAGCTCTTAGAAATCACAGTGTCCAGGTCCTTTCTTCCAATGCCCTCCTCCTCCAGTCAATTAAATGAGAATTGCTGGAGAGGGGACTGGACACTGGCATTTTTAAAAGAGCACTGCAGGTGATTCCAAACGCAGCCAGGGTTGAAACTGCTTGTTGCTATCTTTAATATGGATGCCAGAGAGTAAAGGCAAAAATGACTCTTGGGCAAAATAAAGCAAATGAGAAAAGCAGTCATTATATGAGAATAGTAAACACAGGAGTAAATATAGAAATGTACTCAGGAACAAAATGTAAAAGAACTCAGTCCTTTGGGTGTAATTTATACAACTTCCAAGACCTCATCTACAGCCATTTTCTAACTAAACTTTGACTACCTAACTAAATCTTGACTTTCTTTAATATTCCCAGAAAAAATA